AAATCCATTTTCTACTAAGTACTTTCACCTTTAATTGTATCAGTTTTTCACAATAAATTTGCAGATTTCCAACAATTTATTTAAGACGAGCTTAAAAATGTATGCGTGTTCGAGGGGTGTCTCACTCTGGAAAAATCCCAATTTATTTATGATTTCCACAGAATTCGTGCTTCTAATAAATAATAAAGTAATATTGACGTTATGTGTTCTTTTTGGGCCAAACTTAAAATGGTAAAATTAAAATTTCGAAAATATTCGTTCGCTTAAGAGAATCAAAAAATTGTCAATTTCTGAAGGACCCTATATTTTCTTAGTTACTAGAGATACAGAAAAAGATTTATTGCGAAAGTATCTTTATAATGATTGTTGAATAATCTCCGTTTTCAAAATAAGTATACGGGGCCAGGTAAAGAAGTTAGCGGGCATCATTTTTAAATGGAACACCATATATTTTAATACAAAAATATATATCTATTCGTGTTTCAAAAAACTTGCAAAATATTGAACAAAATTTAAAAAAAGGATCAAACGTGAAAATACAAACAATTCCAGATTTTTTTATTAAAAAAATTTTTGTGGCACAATATTGAATTTTTGAATTTTTCAGTATTATATTTTTGAAAGGAGAATTTAATATGCTATCTTTTTAGCGTAAAATAGATAGGGTGTTCAATAAAAAAAAATGAGGTTAGGTCCAATAACTTTTTTTTACTGGGCCCCGTATATTTATTTTGAAAACTGCAAATTCGGTCTTTAAAAATACAACACCGGGGCAACAATAAAAAAAGATTCAATTCATTAACAAAAATATTGAACAAAATTAAAAAAACATTCAAATGAGAAAATACATCAAACTTCAGATTTTTGAATTTTAAAAATCTCGTTTGAACTTTTTTGAAACTATTACATTTTTGAATTTTTTCATTTTTAAATTTTTGGTAAGAGAATTTAATATGATAAATACCTTTTTTAGGTTAAATATACGGGGAGTTCTATTAAAAAAAAGAGATAAATCCAATAACTTTTTTTACATGACTCCGTATATTGATTACAGATTATTGAAAAATTCATTTCAAGAAACTTCTGTAACAAACATGTTTCTGTACTGTTAACTAAGACATTCGGAAATTTTGACTTTACCATTGTAAATCTGACTTAAAAAGAGTGCAGGACACTTATATTTCTATTTTGATAGAAGTTGCAAAAAAATGCAGTGCATCATATGCAAGTTTTGTAACTGAATCAAAAGATCAAACAAAATGCTGTTGCTCTAAAAGCAAAACATAACTTCCCTGAATTCAGAAGGAGCACCACTCACGCACATTACAATACTGTAAGTCTGTAACGTGCACGTAATTTATTTATTTAAGTACAAATAATTAACAATAAATTTATAACAGTCTTGAAATTGTTTAGTGTGTAACAGTAATTATTATTTATCACTCTCAATTATAACATAACACGAGCGGGAGCTTAGTACTTCACTTCGCAACGATGTTAGAATTTACTTAAGCACAATTCGATTTGCTTATATAGCCAACGCCTATATTTCTCAAAAGTTCTCGAACACTCCCGAATCTTCTAGAATGTTCTCGTCGTCATATTTTGCCAAAAAAAATGCATCACATCCACTTTCGTTTCTTATCGCCGATGTCTGTAATTTTTATGGCGCCTTAATGTCTATCGGGATTTCTAGAATATTCCCTACGATACGAATGCGTGGCCATGCGAGACCTTAATGAACACAAATGCAAACACAAACGTACGTGAGTACGACGCGCAAATAAGCAGGAATGGTGCATTTGTCGTTAAATTCTTTGACAATTTCCATTTCATAAAATTCGCTGACAATTGTAGGTTTCCTCGATTCTCCTACGTTGTCACCACCCCTTAATGTATTGGCCATTGGCGGGCATCGGCCATATTGGTCATGTGGCCGATATTAATATCCGTACCGTTCGATCTTTACTTCCCATAGTGAGACACCCATCGGGTGTGTTAGAATAGGGTCTCTCAGAGAGAAAGTTGAAGTGCTTGGCGTGTAGCTCCCAATGTCTGTTTTGGTCCCCTCTACCATCCTATTTTTTTAAATACTGTTCCACTGTTACACCCTGTATATTGTAAAAATGATGTGGTACTTACCGACAAGTTTGGGAAGTTAATTTCTTACTTTCTTTACAATTAGAGATTCTGGGTTTTAAATATACAGATACATGCCGCGCGCTATAGCACGGCGAATAACGGCGCAGACCGAATATGACATCGGCAACTGTCGGAAAAACTTGTCAATTGGGATTCCCACTTCAATGGCGTTCCGTTAAGCGTATTTTCCTCCTATCCCAAGATCAGGTACCCCTAAATGGGGGTGCGAAAAATTCTGATCTGAACGACATTTGGTTCATGGGAATTTTTCAACATGAAAATAACGAATCCAAAATTAGTTTTTAAAAATTCGAGAAAAAAAAGCAACTTATATACGTTTTATTAACGTTTTATTTTGGTTTTTGTGAATATTTTTACTCAATGAGAAATCGGCGACAAGTCCCTCCTATCTTTTATGGCTGCTACGAAGAATCGGGACTATTTGGATTTAATAATAATATATAATAAATATAATAAAATAAAAATTAAAAATAAATAAACATTTCTAGATAACCAAGTCGTTCCTAACATTTTTTGTTCGCCATCGTCTGCAATTAAAATATTTTAATGTATAAAAATAATATTTAATATAAATATGTATAACAAGTGATACCGACATCAAGATTTTACGCTCTTTTAAACACTCCAAAATATATAGGGTGGTCAGTATGGAAAAATGTAGTAGGGGTTCTTTAAAAAACGAAACACTCTGTATAAAAACTGTACATCGCGATGTATGCTACATAGACAAGTGCTGAAAGAAAGATTTTGCCAAAACCAATTAATAAAAACAGTATGGAAATCGACTCAATTCGAGAAACGCCCCCTAGCGGCCAAACGAAAGAGATAGTCGAATTCAATTTTGTTTTGTTTTTCGGCTGATTGCCATTTCGGTTACTAGAGTTTCGGTTAATAGCGTTTCTACTGTAGTACCAAGTACTGCAGTCGGAAGACTTACCTATAACGCAATACTCAGTAAATATTAATATTGTAATAGAGAATTGTATTGTATTAATCCCATCCTGTAATTATCCATCATTACCTAATACAATACCTATGATTCCTATGAATATTTAAAGCTTAGTGCATAATTTGGGAATTTATTCTGGTGGTTCTGCGGGTTTCCATTAGAAAATACCACACGTTTGTGATTTGCACCAAAATTTTAACTCGAAAAATTTGCTTGCATATAATTACTTACACATTTTTTCTCGCATTTTTTCCATAATACGATAGATATCCAACTGCTGTTGAGAGAAACCTACTCCTTTTTTTCCTATTTAAAAGTCTTTGCACTACTTTCCGAGAGCTCCATGATTAACATTGGAAAAACTATGTATACATATGTATTGAAATCATATTTCCCATAATTAGTCTCCTATATTTTGTAGGCGATGTTGTGGAATTGTTTGGAATTCGAAATGGAAGTGCAATTTCCGTTTTGTAATTTGGATAATTACGTGTGTATCTTCCTAGAAGATTCTTTGCGCTTTGAGCTATACTAATGTTTTTAAACGTGCAGTTACCTAGTTTCCATTCAAACTGAAGTAGGAACCAAAATATTATTATTATACAAAATGGCGTGTTATCTACAATTCTTGTTCGATTTTGTCCTAATTTGCTTTTGAATGTGAAATTACCCTTCGAGTATAGTCCTCGGTATACCTAGTCAATCATTTGTACAATCACCAAAAGTCTTCAGTAAACTGAATATTGTAAGTAATTATTATTTATATACGAGTAATTGAAAGTTTTTCAACTCATTCAAATCTTACGACTTTTTGAAGAAAAATCAGAATTGATATTTTTTGTTGGTCTAAAACTGCGCAGCAAGTATAGTTTGGTTTTTTCTCTACATCCTTTTCGCGAAAAATCGATAGAATGCAAAGATATTTTGCAACGGAACCTAGATAATAAGTGCTATTATGTAGGTGCTTATTGCGATCTTATACACTGTTGCGTCTCAGTGAAGCCTTCCAAATTCAAAGTTGTCATCGAGTTTGTTTTGCATCTAGTTTAAAATTCTTCGCGACCGGAACTCAAACTCTTATGGTGATTTATTTATATTTGAGCGCGTCTTTAAATTGAGGACTCTGTATATATTGAGGGAAAAAATCTAATTTTGTTCCGCAATATTTATTGTCTTTGTAAAACAGAAGAGGACGTACACATGAAATAGTGTTGGGGGAAACGTTGAGAAAAATACATGAGGTACAGAGTATACCATGAACAAAATGAGGTTTGGACTCAACCATTTCACGAAACGGGGGACGTCGGGTTCAGTTTTGATCATCAGGCGCGGTGTATTTCGTTTAAAGCGAAAAGCCGACGAGTTCCACTTCGTTACACGAGAATTGGATGCCTTTTCCCTTCACTTTTCACTTATCTTTTTTTATAGCCAACTTGGACCGTCTTCGCTTGATTTTTTCGGCCACACTTTCATCTTCGTAGAAAATTAGTCATTGATAATTGAATCATTAGGTAGCCGAATGGAAAAGCGCGCGCGTCAGATTTTCGCTTTAAGGGCCTTAATTTAAATACTACCCACTCGCCGCCTTGCGTAGGTGCATATTTAGCAACACCCCAATTTTTTATTTAACCAATTCGTTTTTGCAAAATTGCCGCTGTACAAATATTAACTTCTGGCGGGAATTTGCAAATTTACGAATTTGTGTTAACCGGCGATTCTACGTCTCGCGATTTCGGTTGTTTGACGCATTTTTGAGCGTGAAATCAATAATAATCATAATTGTTAATAAATTTAGTAGTTGCTTACGTAATGAAAAAATTTTTAAGACATCGTGGAATGGAGCGTATACGTCACTATTTTCGGTCACGTGATATACCGTTAGACGCCATATTGGCAATTTAGTGTAGCGTTAGGGGTTAGTGACAGACCTTCTCTGTACTTTCTTGTTTTTTTTCCGCTTCTTTTTTGGTATAATAAGTGACAGTTGATTGAAAGTTATTGTTGTAATTATTCGAAATTCAAACGGACGTGTGACAACAGTTTTAAATGTCGCGGGTCGCTGTTAACTTCGGGTATTTACGATCGTCACAGCCTTCTATTGGCGGTGTGCAGCTGTTCAATGTCGAATTGATATAAAATACCAATTTCGATGGCGGGAATATTATAAATAAACTAACCTACGGTAATTGATGATTGAATTTATAAGTTATGTTAGTAATAATGAGTCACACAATTTAACCCCCTTGGAACTACTGTTGTTGCTCCTTTCTTTACTGTAATTGTCAGAATGTTGGTAGCACTGACACTTTCAGTTCAACTAAAACATGCCCTTTTTTATATTAACAATAAACATTGAAAATTATTTTGTTGTAATTAAACAGCGAAAGTGTAGCGACATGCTCGTATGCGGATACGATAAACGAACTCACGTGGCCTTTTTTTGCAGGATTACTGTGGACCATTGGGCTATGGCCGCTGTTGCCGAAATGGGGGAAGTCGACGAAATCCATTCGAATGAAGAAAGTATACGAGGTTTGTTTTGATTTGTGAAAATAGCTATGATAATAATTACACGATTCAGAAGTATCAATGAGGAATCTGGCACCCACATTTGAGCTTTGACATCGTTAGACAGTTATCAAAATTATGTACTAAACTACGATGTTAGTGCATGAGACATATTTTAGGTTGCTATGGTTTGTTATAGTGCCAGTGTACTTTTGTGTGACGTTTTATTATTTTAGGGTCAGTGTTAAATATGCTTTGTCACGTGGTTGCGTTGATGTATTGACAAGGTACACTTCTTCATCACTTCCAACAATCAGATGTCTTCATTTTTATGTAGGTTGTTATGACCAAACTTCTTGGATCAACTTATTTCTTTGGAAAGATGGAATTATGCCAGTATTCCTTTCATTTTTAGGGAGTGCGTTATTTGTTTACTTCGCCACTTGATAAACAAGTGTTTATTTTCAATATTTCTCATTTGTTAATTTACTTACTTGCAGGGTGGTAAATATTTCGTTTTGATATTGAAACATTAAATTTGTTGCTATGGGGATTAGTGGCAAGGGCCATAATGATGTCACATTAGTTAAACAAGGAGAGCAGTAACATTTCACAGAGTAGTAGATTTTTCTGTTTAGCATATCCTTTCCTTTGTACAGCTTTCTCAAAACAAGCTACACTTTATCTTGCTATTAATGTAAGAACAACATTCTTTACATTTGCAGGCTGAACTCTTTTAAATATGATGAATAGTCATCAAAGTGCAAGCACATGCTCAAACCGCACGATATAGGGGAACTAAATTCCAGACCAGTAATTAGCTTCTTCAATCGGATAAAACTACTTTAAAACTAGTAAGAACATCACAAAACTTCTTAATAGGATTATGTGCTTGAAAGCTACACTGTCTTACCCTCACATACAAGTGCAAGTACATCAAGACTAGTATTTTACTTTAGCAAGTAGTATACCTGTGAGGATTTGTGTTTATCAAGAGACATTCATTCGTGACGTCTACCAATGTGCTAGTAAGTCAGGGTGGGGAGGCCAGGTGGGGTTCAGCCCCACATAGAACATGGTGTGTGAAAACTATGATTCTTTTACAAAATATGAAATATTTGCTGGAATGAACCTTGCATTCAAATTACAATTGGACTCTTAAAGGTAAACCAAATCAAACGAGGGAACAAAGATATAATATTATAGTGTACCACAAAAATTACAGGTCTCACAATAAATCGTGTACCTTATCAGTGCAACCTCCTAGGCAACCTCCTTAATCCGGATAATCATATGCGAGGGGTGTGTCTGAATTAATGAATTGTCCAGATTACTGAATAGTGGACTAGAAGTGCGTGAATGTACATTAACAACTCGATTAACAACTTGGACATGTCTTCTAATAATTTTTTTATTCAAAAACAGCATAAAATCTCATGAATGGAACATATAATAACTAAACATACGTAAAATAATAATAATATTTATTATGGATAGCCCCAAAAGATTACAATAGTTGTATACAAGAAAGTGTACGTATATACATTAAAGAGGTAATATATATAATATATAATAAATCAAAATAATATCAATGAATGCTAAACATGAAAACAACTAAAAAGAATACTTGAACCTAACTTAACTGTAGTATTTCGTATAGAAGTCACTATCTCAGGGGTCGGCAACCTGCGGCTCGCGAACTGCATGCGGCTCTTTTGATATAAAGTTGCAGCTCTCCGTATTTATCTAAAGAAATTAGCTCATTTGTTCGAAATTCGCCTTTTTAATTAATTGTATTTGTTTACGAAATCAAAAGTACACTTGCAGCAAATAATTGTCTAATTTGTGACACTTGTTTACTTTCTGGTATTCTTTTGTTTCTTTATTATAGCAGCCTACTCTGATGTATAACCACGTAATTAATTAATGATTAGGTACTTTTGTGAAAAATATTGAATAACATAAAAACTGCGGGGTTTAAGCACAGGGCACCCCTTATAAACATTGGAAGAGAACACAAAAGACAATCGAATAGCGAAATAAAATAGTGGTAGTTCCATTTGAAAAAGAATAGTTATAGCACTTTGAACAAATGGCATTGAAACAAGTAAAAATATGCAGGATGCTCTATTTAAGATCAGTTATTTATTGACATGGTAAGAATGAGACACCCTGTACATTCAAAAATAATTTCTGTAGATCGGCAACCACCAATATTTTTTACCAGGTATCAGCTATGTAGGAAAAACCGACGCATTGTTGCAGGACCTTGTATATAGCCAAATACTATAATATTGAATCAAAAAGTTTTTGTGGCTCTTTAAAAACTGGGAAATTTTTGTAAATTGTAATTTTTGGCTCTTCCGTTTCAACAGGTTGCCGACACCTGCACTATCTACTCTTAATAATAAAGCCGGCCCGTGGGGCACAGTTCAGTTATAGCTGGACTGTGGTGCTAAGGGTCCCTGGTTCGGTTTACCAAAGAATATCCATGGCCATCTTTTTTGTTTCAGTTTTCAAAAAACTCTGATTTTTGAAATGGAATGCCAATTTTTTAAATTTTGGATATTAATTCTAGACAACTTTCTTTCGATTAACATGGCATTGTCCTATACCTTTTGAATTGTTTCTGTTTATACCGCCAATGTGTATGAACATTTGTGCCCGTTTTCTGTCACTGTCACTCATTGGGAAACTGATCATTAATATAAATTCAAATAGGCTGCTCTATGCATCCGCGAGAGTGGGACAGAGATTCCCCTTGTGGCCCTCTCTCTCTCTCTCGGATCGCACTGACCGACGCAGCGCGCGTTCTAGTATATTTATAGTTCAGTGCCAGTAGCAGTGACTATTGGCGACCGCGCCCTTAAAAAAATATGGCCCAATCACTACTCACATAAAATTGATTTTATCATTTTGAATTGTACCCAAAAAATTCACATTCGTTTAGCGATTGTTTCAGTGGATGAAATCCGCCTCTAACGTACACATATCTTGAATTCAGATATTTTTAGCTACAATTTTAAAAGCTTCCATTTCATCGCATTGAAACTAACTTACGTCTATGCGATATAATTGTAGGATGGAATAATCTTTGTGTTGCATAGACATTATAATATGTCTTGTTTGCTTGTTTTCAGCCCATTATTCAGCCTAAGTGAAATCCGGGAGGAGAGGGGATGCTTTCCAGACGTCATGGTAGTCTGACGAAAGGTTTTAATTAAAGGAAGAGACCGTGGCAACCGCGCTCGCCTTTCGCAATAGGTTTTTTTGTTATCACCAGACGTACGTTCATTCACGTTCGCTGTGAAGCGGTACACGTGGAATTTTTTTTAACTTTTTAGACAACAAATAGCCATATCTTAATTTAGTGTAGGTATCCTTGAATACTATAACATACATCTTTCCAGCGTATAACTGTGGAAAAGGACCACACTGGCCTCACTGGATGTCCGAACTGTCTCTTCCCATAAATGTATAGCTCGCATGGCTGCCTCTCTATTCTCTCCACTTTTATATTGACCTATTATTGCTGCTACATGCCTCTTATTTTGGTGTCACCATCTCTCGTGGTACAGCTGTAACTCGTCATCAGCTCCATTTGCGTCTGCACTTTTTAGGTCAATCCGTTTTAGTTGCTAGAGGTTTAATATGCTTAAAAGTTCCACAGGGCAAGCTATGGCGTGTTCTTCCTCACCTCCAAACACTCCTGGTTCCTAATCTTCTTTTATTTTGGTAATTTCAACAACTGTCGTTACTTCTGTCACTTCCTCACTAGAAACGATACGGGCCCATAACCTGTTCTGATTATTCTTGAAAAATTGACGTTGATTGATTAACAAAATAGATAAATAGGAATTTTTGATCACGTTTAATGCCGTCTAAGGAACAGTTTAAACATGCGGTATCAATAATAATAATGTGTTTATTTCCACCAAATTAAAAAAATGGAAACCACAGGGGTTATCGGTTCAGTTGCTGCACAGACAGGTTCTGATCTTCCACCGACTCCCTGAATACAGTTAGAATTAACATAATCAAGTAATGCTTATAACTGAGTAATATAATAAAAAGGAAAATATGAAATAGTAATAAATGCACATAGGAGTAACTAAATGAGAGTGAGATGAAAAGAGATTGAGTAATATACTAAGAAAAGCGGACAAAGAGACGAGAGACAAGTTAAACAAGATAGATATGAATGACAATCTACAACGTACGTACAGAGTCATGGGCTAATATTTGACGCAATTTAATTTTGAAATACTGCGGAGAAAGGGGCTTAATCAAATCTGGAACAGAGGAATATACTTTAAAAATATTATAACTAAAAGAGCTAATCAATCACAATAAATGCTTTTAGTTCAGGAAATATATAATTTTAGGATGCAAAATTCATGGTAGTTCTGGAAATATGTAGGCATGTTTTCTGTGTCTATGAATCCGAATTTTCAACTTCCCACCAAAAATTCCCCCCACAACCCCCCCAAATTTGGAAAAAAATAAAAAGTATCTTTTTTTTTAAAATACTGTTATTTTGTGTATTTCAGAGAAAAATGTATCTGGAAATTTTCGACAAAAAGATCATATGATATTTTGACGTAGGGCGAAACAACAGATCTACTCACCCTTTGGTCTTGAAGAAAACACGAGACTTTGAAACAAATTAAATATTTTTCGCGCATGAGCCTAATTTTCAGCAGTGACATAGATAAACCTGGGCCATCAGCTGCAGTTAAACCGTAAAGAGTAATTTAAACTTTTTTAAAAATAATTTAATTTATTCTTAGTAATAAAAGTATATTGTTTAAATATATGTGGGAACTTGACTGAAAATAGGTGGGGAAAAGTTGGAGGTTGAGGGTTGACTTCCAGATGCTGAAAAATAAGAGAGATTCAAGGAGGCAGGGGGTTAAAACGAAAGGTAAAGCGGGTGGAGGGAGAGCGAACACGAACGCCGTGGATTGTTAAGCGAAGTGCGCCTGAATCGCCAATGAGCATACTTCAACGCACGCCAGCGCCCCCTAGGTGCGTAGTACGTAAACATGCTTTAGGACGTTTTCGGTTGCATACTATATTACATTTAAAATTTGTAGGTATTTTATTATAATATTATTATTATATTATTTTATTTTTGCAAGCTAAGGTCCTCATATGTTCTTTATTGCGTGGACTATTTTAGCATGTTGCATTAGAGCATTTGAATAGTTCAACATCTGTGAGTATAAACCATTGAGTGGTATAAACAATTATGTCACTCGTAACCATAGCAACACGAAATAAAACCAAAAATGTCAATTTTGATAACACTGTGGCACAACCTAAAATGTAAATACTAATTCGTCAGGCTCAAATGTGCTGTTTGAAATAGAAAATTGTTTCAGATGGTGCCAGTGTGAACGGAGACGTGTGCGAGTTTAATAAAGAGGCAGATGAGGACCCGGATGAAATCATCGAATCAACAAATGTTAGCGAAGATGAAATGGTAGAACACGAAGAAAACAATTCCGACAATGACGACGACGATGCTCAATTTAGGGAAATACATAGCGTCGAAGAGCAGGAAGTGGATGATGATGATGACGAGGATAAAATGGAGGTGGAAGAAATAGGATCGGTCGAGCAAATACACGAAATAAACAACAGCGACGATGAGGATAAACACGAGGAGATAAGAAACGGTCTTGATGACGGCACAGGTGATAGTGATAAAATGGACGACGCTAACTCCATTATTATTCACGATTCGGGCGAGGCCGATTGCGATGACGTCGTAATATTGGACGATACGGATCCCATAGAAAATGGCACTATAGATATGACGGAAGATGACGTTGAAATTACGGAACCTATAGAAGATCTCGAGCCACAAAATGATACCGACACTCAGGCAAATAAAAAGAAGCTTGTTTCGGAGCAGGTCGCTTTCCGAAGAAGTATTCGTAACTTTGGAAAAGAAAGGAGGTCATATGCCAAAAAGGAGAAGCCAAAGCCACCCCCGATTCCGGAACCTCAGCCATGTGATTCGTCCGATATGTCCGATATTGAAGAGATACTACCCGAAGATCCTTTAGCTGTGATTGAAGCCACCCCTTCACCTCAAACGAAAGCTCCAAAGAAAAAATCGCGACTGTCTAGTTCAACCATAGTTGTCAAGGACACCAAACGCCTTGCTGAAATTGCCTCTAAATCTACCGCTAATAATAATAATAAAAAAGAACCAACGCTAGTAATAATTGACACAAATTCCATTTTATCAGGTCGTGGTCCCATTCCCATTACTCAGAAAGCTTCCATGTCGAATTCGCAAATGACCAACTCCTTTCCAATGCTGCCGATGGCGCTTCCCGCTCAAGGTATTTACCCGGCGAATATGCGCGCCACAATCACACCTATTCCAATGACTCCTACTTCAATTTCAGCAGTACCAGCCACCCGACCTCCGACCACCGCACCCACGCTTCCTCCGGCCCCACCCGTTCTCCCCACCTTAACCGATGATATGTTTGTGGTAGAGGCACCTTCCTTTATTGTTCCTTATGTATACGAGAAACCTCCACTAAAAGACCTTAAAACTTGCATTAAGACTCTCGAGAATGAAATCAAAGAAAGCGAAGAGAGCGACAAGGCGAAAGAGTCCGAAAGCAAGAAGGAAGATGCACCCGAAAGCGATAAGAAAGACGACGACGCAGATAAGGATGAATCGAATAAGGAAGGTTCGGATGTTGAACTAGTAAATGAGAAACAAGAGGGCAAAGATTTCGAGTTAGATTTACCTGTGATGCCTATACCCAACACCGCAAATGCGCTCGCGGCCGAGTTACGTAAGCCCGCCACATATTTCGATAGCGCCCTAGGAAAATTTTTTATGGGTATCGGTTACGGCCTGGTTCAGGAGTCCGTTCAAACTGACCTTTTGAAACAGCAGAAGCGTAAGCGCGATCGGGAAAATTGGGAGAACGCGGAGACTATTAAAACTATCAATTCGTTAATAAAGAATTTGGAGTATACGAAAGAAAATAATGTTCCATATCGCATGCCAACCAAGAAATGTGAATATTGTAGCTTTAAGACCGAGTCCTCTCTAGCGATGTCGTTTCATCTGGAAACTCCCCACATGAAAAACTACGTGTATCGTTGTAACTTTTGTACTTATGAAGTTCGTAGTCCGCACGATATTTTATTCCATATGGAAGTTAAGCACGGCGTGAGAGGTCGCTTGGAGAGAGCGCCCGCTTTCCATCAGTGCCCCAATTGTCCATTCGAGGATAATCAAAAGGGAAAGCTGTCGAGGCACTCGGTGGCGTGCATGCGCAAATTTAAGCCCGAACGAAATTTGGAACCGCCCGCCGATTTTGAACCTCCCGCGAAAATACCTCGAATGCCGCGTATGAAGCAGCAAGGAATGGGAAGCGCGGCCGCCGTTTACCAGGCAATGGCACGTTCAACTCAGTTACAAATGATGTCTAAGCTAGCTAATAATTCAACTGCTTTGCAGCGTGGGAGAGGTAGGCCGTCGATGGGGCTTCCGATTACAAAGCACATTCCTCCCAGCATACGACCCGCCAATGCTAACATACTGTACAAACCATCCGGAAGCATGTCGGGCGGCTCCGTTTTGGTACCGACGAATTACCAGTTAAGCGGAAATCCTCTATATCAGGTAGGTTGAAAATGCTTAGCCGACGGTACTTGCTCAGGCTTAGTTTAGCAGTAACCGAGTACCAGTTTAAAAAAATAGAGTAACAGTGTGTGTATGTTAGGTGGTGGGTGGTCCAGAGATGGGTGGCCACATAGGCCACGGCCTTGCCGCCACGTATCTGCCTAATTTATCTACCACGCCCAATTCATTCACCGTTCAGGTATGCACCTAAAAGTGCTTGCTTTTTTGCAATATAACATCATGAAATACATCATTACTCAAACGCACTCATTTTTTGTTGTCAAAGCTGAACGATGATTTTAAGTTTTTCAACTTTTGTTTGCTTGTGTATGTGAAGCTTTAAATGTGTCTGCGTTCTAATATAGCATCATACTTGTTAATTTTACAGCTCTTATTTTTGTATTGGTTTCTTTTCTCTTCTACTCTTCTATTTTGGGATATAGTGCTCAACATTTCTAAGGGTAAACATTACATTTATTAAAAACGTGCCCAGTCTGTCGACGACTGTGAATGTTCCGATTTGTTACTAGAAGACTTCTACATTTTGTTGCTCCACTGACGATTCTGTGATGGAACCTTCACTTTCAATTCATTGTGCATTCTTCCTACCAAAAATTGCAATATTATTATTTTATTGTACATGTAGCTTTTGCTGAAACCCCGCCCACTTAAAGATAAAGACAAGGTAATAAATCACATTTCACATCCTCATACTTGCAGATAATGCTTGAATCGTTTAGATGATGATACAAGCATGAAATTTGGTATGAATGCTTCTATAATGGTATTATTTTATATGAAAACGGTGGCTACTTAAGAAATTCAAGATGGCCGCAGTTTTCCAAGATGGCACAGATCATGCAAATGTTAGCTGTATAGTTGAATTGATTGCCCTTTTAAAGGAATCATTCTGTAGTTTGACCGTGAACAAATTGCAAAAGAATTGATTTAAGCGGTTTCTGAATGAAAAAAATGTGCTGAAAATGATGGAATAAAGTTTACTAATGTTTGACACGGGAAATGCCTTAACCGGAAGTGGCAACCCGGAAATAAATTGTTTGTGGCTCATAACTAAGTCAGAATTGCTTTGAGGAAAAAAATTGTTCTATGTAAAATTAAAGAGCATCAAAATCTCTACAAAAATGTATATAACACATTTTTTTGTTAGAGCAGTGGTTTAGGCGCAATGCGTGTATTTATATAATTGCAAAATACACTGCACCAATATAGACGAGCGACAAGGTCACTTCCGGTTGACGGGTATTGACCAAAATTTAATCAGTTAGTCCCTTGACCATTGTCCACCTATTACTGAAAATAGAATTGGAAAATTCATGTGCACAGATGGACGGACGGATAGAAAGTCCAAAATCATGAACTCGCTTTTTTTTGCTTGTTAATAAGCTTCAAAACACATTTTATACATCTCGTGTAAAGAACACATTCTCTCACTGTTAAAAAAATTTCGCTGCAGAATTTAAATCGCACAACATAGTTACATAGTTTATAACAATAATTAACTAATTTAATTAAGATTAGTTTAATGTACGGCAGAAATACAGTATTTATGATTACCGTATGCCCCAGTGCAGACCCACAAACTGCAGTAAACGAAACGATTTGTCTATATATTTCACTTTTTCCAAATCGAGAGTGAGATCAGGCTCTGGAGAATTTGAACAACGAACTCCTCGACATTTTGGGTACACAGTATTGCAATCTAAGTTCAGCTTGCGGCAACAACATCTCATTGTATGGTAACCAATTTTACATTTACCCTTATACGTTCTAACAATTCTTATGGATCAGGAGGAAGGTTTGTCTTCATGGGGAGCATTTTTCCGTTTATGAAAACCCAACCCCATTATAAAGGATCTTGTTTGTTTCCTTTCCATTCTTGGACTTGATACATTCGAAGGCTGTGGAAGCTCGTGTGGAAGGTTATTTATAGGAAGGTTAATTGCGATCTTATTGAACCCTTTCACTTTGATCCTGTTCCGTAGGATACGAAATTTGTCATAAGAAACATTTAGGAGTAAACTTTGCCTAATTTTTTAGGTTTGAAGCTTAGTTCGTTATCGAATTGAACACTGACTCCATAAATACATACATTGCTCCTAAACCACTGCTCCAACAAAAAAATGTGTCATATACTTTTTTGTAGGGATTTTGATTCTCTTTAACTTTGTATAGAACAATTTTTTTCCTAAAAGCTATTCTGACTTAGTTATGAGCCAAAAACTATTTATTTCCGGGTTGTCACTTCCGGTTAAGGCATTTCTCCCCGTCAAACATTGGTAAACTTTATTCCATCGTTTTCAGCACATTTTTTTCATTCAGGAACCGCTTAGATCAATTCTTTTGCAATTTGTTCTCGGTTACATGATTTTTTAACATAATATGACTCCACTATTTGTTTTTTTCGTTTTCAATCAGTTCCCCCAACTACTGATCAAGTGAACAGAAATCACTATTATCTGATTGCGGGAAAAATTTCAACAGTTAAACCACTTCAATTAACATAACCTCAGAAAACTGGAATTATACCCTCCCAGGCTGTTTGTTTATTTTTTATCGGACATTTAAGAACTGTTTATGAGTAGTGTACCTGTCGAATACTCTCTGAATTTTCCTATACAATTAAAGTTTATACTCTTTGATTCAACGTGTCGCGTATTTAATAATAATAATAATAATGCTTATTTACTGAAAAATCTCATTGTACAATGTTAGACATTAAATATTAACAAGAATTCTTTTAATATGAATTCTAAATGAATTGAATGAGCGATGATGAATTGAAGGAGCAAGATTTAAACAATATTACCGCTAAAAAACTATAATAAACCAATCCATTTCTTTTTAGGTTATGTTAAGTAATAACAAACACCAAACTGTCAAGTCTGAGTTTTCTTCAAGTGATTTAACTGAACTGATTTTGGTGAAACTGATCACCAGAAACGAAAACGCCTATTAACTATTTTATTAGTGATAATTAATAACGGCGGCCATTTTGAATATTTGAAATGGCTAGCGTATTCATATAAAAAAATACCCTTATCGAAGCATTCGTACCAAATTTCATGGTAGGATCATTATTTGAAAAATCCTTACTACTAATAGTTAATATGTGCAGCAATCTTGGAAAAACTTCAATTGACTAATTCTGACCAAACCTGATATGGTAGAAAGATACTGACTTAGAGTTTTCAATTCGTTTTTACTCATACTAAGACCCACAAAAATTTTATACCCATACCCTCCTCCAAGTCTGACAAAGTTACAGGGATGAGAGAGGGTTTGCATTACAGTGACTTAAGGACAGTGGCGACAATTTATCATAATCCGCCATATTGGAGCTAAAAGATTGATTGTAGGATCAATATACCGTGTCATGTCAAATTGTGACCATAGAGTAATAAATGTCAGTTTCATTTAAGTAAGTTGTTTAAAGCTTTGCAGAACAACCTATGGGAAACCCACTACCTCCCAGATTAAAAAAGATATATAGAAAACGGTATAATAAGTATAAAATATGGTGCAATATCCAAAATGTACATATAAAGGTAACCATTAATCATTAAATTGTGTTTGACATTTCAGTGTGTTCTGTCACTTCTTGTCCCTTGTCCCGTGTTTCTTAAATGGAAGACAAAACTCGTTGATTTAGTCCAGGGAGTACAAGAGATCAATATCCCTTGTGCTTCAGCAATCATTAATGTTAAACATTAAACCAATTATTCAAGCGTATTTATGATCACAATTGCGTTATCTATAACCACAATTAGATTTGCTGCTAAATTTTGGATAAGCTGCTTCTTTAACCAATTTTCTATCTTAACTGATTAAGGTATTTAGGGCATCTGAAAAAATTTTTACATCAATTACCAGTAGTAGAGTTAGGCACAGTTTTACATCTAAAAACATTTTAAGCGAATTACATACCTTACAATATCGTAAATACAACTATATGCTCTGGAGACGGAACAAGTAATATAAAGCAAATACAGGAAGCAAAAGTGTAAACTAGTTACGTGAGGCCGTGGCAATTACAGGTGACACTGCCAAAACAGTAACGCACGGAGTGTACTGCGTCGTTTTGGAGGCTTTCTATTGGCCAGTTTGGAATTTAGCCCCAATATGGCGACCGGAACCAACGACCAATCAAAAAAGAGATTCCCTGTTGTCACCACTGTCACTGTAGTTTGCATATGTTGTACATACTTCATAATCTCTTGTATATTCATAGAATATCATGGAGAGGAGGGTAAAGGAATATTTCAAATTTGTACTATCATTCTTAATTCGTTAATTCCACCGACAGTTAGTGTAGCGGGCGTGTTGGGTATAGTGCCGCTTTAAATATATCTTATATTAGCTCCAAACCACAGCGTTTATAATTTAATGACCACAGATGGCGTAATCGTTGCATTCATATTGTGGTTTGTAGACTGGCGTATGTATCATTTTACTATTGCATCAGCACAAAAATCGTATTTTTGCATCAACGTGAAAGATGTACCATGTACACTGTGTCTTGTTTCGGTTAAGACTGCAGTGTATCTCAGCTGTTATTAAAGATAGAGACTTGCGGTTTTCGCGACCCTATGCGACTTTTTGTGAAACTTGTAATACCACAAACAGAATCAATTTAGCTACGTTTGTTTCTGCAATACAGGGTGAAAACGAAAAGTTTAACTCCATGCAAGATATAAAAAAGGTAAAACTTGCATATTTTAGATGTTTTTACGTAGAAATCAGTGACGTAGTAAAACTTTACCACAGTTTCTGAGATTGCTCCAATGTTGGTATTTTTTAAATGCAACACTCTGTATATCTTAACCTCAATTGTTTTTATTTTGAAGTTTAGCCATGAAAGCCTATTTTTTATTGTTTTTTAATAGTAGGCCATGGATTCATGTTTTTTTTAAAATTTATTGTATCTATTGTAATTAAAGCAACTAATACCAATGAATAAAAATGGCATCTTACATGAGTAGTAAGGTATAATAGCGTCTCAAAAAGTAAAACTTTTCGATTTCACCCTGTATCTCAGGAACAAACGTAACTAGATTGATTCTGTTTGTTCACAAAAAAAAAGTGGCCCATGGTCGCGAAAACCGCAAGTCTCCATATTTAAAAACAGCTGAAATACACTGCATTCTCAATCAAAATAATAATAATAATTATTATTATATAAATACCACAAAAAAACATGTTCTTATTGATTTTATAACCTAATAAACCTTCGCTAAAAGACAATACAAAGTAGAAAACTAGAAATCACACAAAAGAATAAAAAAAATCATTAGTAATCAATATTACGTTTGACTTTAACTTTAAAAGTGTGATAATTAGAGTTAAATAGATCACACCACTGCAATTTCCAAAAATAGTTTGCATCGGACAAAATTCTTGTTAGTGGATTATTCCTAGACATGTTGCTCGAAAATTGTTTAATTCTGAAGCCTAGTATATTTCTAGTGACGCGCGTAGTCCTAGGAACATGAAAATCCACCAAACTAAGAATTTCAGGACAATCAATAGCACCATTTAGAAGAATTTTTTAGGATTTTGGAGTGTCAAAACTAGCCCCCTGGCGGAGGATTCAAGTAAATTGATTCTCATTGCCCAAGGAATGCTCTTTTCAACGATACCAAATTTGTTAAAATCGGTCAAACGGTTAAGAAGTTAAAGCAGGTTATTGGCAGAAACAATTGAACGCCCCACACCATCTTTGTTATTGAAATAAGTGAGTTTTTGTTTTTACGAAAATGATAGATAAACTGGTTCTATTTAAAAATGTGAAAAAAAATTTTTTAGTTTATGGGAAATTTAAAGAAAATGCAATTTTAAAATTTAAGATGGCAGTTACGCCCTTTGTTGGTAATTTTTAGAACTTGAAAATATTTTCCAGCGATTCTTCATGACCAATTTACCCAATAATTTTTCTTACCCCTAAGTCATATGACGAACAGTTCTCGAGATATGGCCGAGAAACAGTCTTGACCCATCACCCGGTACTGTCAGATTGAGTAAATTAAAGTCAAAATTCTATAATTGCTTGAATATTACATATTTGACCAGTGTAGCTTTTGTATACTACTAGGACACTAGGACTAGATAGACACCCCCTCTATAAATTCTGAAGGCTCAATTTTGTTCGCAGATAAGTTGACTGTCCGGGGAGTGAATGTTTTGAATGCAGCAGTATGAATTATTTATTGTATCACAGGCCAATACTAGAACAATGGGTTTTTGTATTGTGTGTTTGTCTTTAAGTATGGTCATATGCCTCCTCTCCGCTCTCTCATTCCCATAGCCGCCTACAATCAGACTGTTTAATTAGCCTCCTACACCAATGACTCAAACTGAAGTTTTGGACCGATGATCATTTGTTTCAAATAGTGTGATTTAAGTCATAACAAAGCGGTCTATGAATAGGTATAATTAAATATTCTGATGTAGACAGCTAGGGCAATGAGAGTGAGGGGGGTGGGGGATCTTACCTTGTTTTGGCAAAATCAAATCATCCTCAAGGGCGTTTTTGTCAAAATGTTAATCAACTTTGAGGTTTTGTTTTAGTGGGTAGAGTGGCGATGGAACAAAAGTAAATACATCTAATCGATAAGAGAGATGCTCTACAAAAAAGGCAACCACATATTTTTTGATAAAGGGGTGGATCACCCTCCCTTGCCAGAGGGTGGCGGATAGCTTCCCTTCTAATAATGTTTGTTTTGGTGCAATAACAATAAATTGTGCAAAATGGCTTGCTTGAATCATCAAACGCCCTATAATTTCATAACTAACAACACAAATTGATAGTTTTTTATATACAGGGTGATTCAGGTAACCCATTCGTTAGAAGTTTTTAAACTTGTACCTAGTTGAAATAGAAACTTGAAATTTGGTTTAGAGCCATTAATTGATCATTGCGAATTGAAATAAAATGATTTCAAGATGGCGTCGCTTTCGTAAATACCGGAAGTGGCGTCATCTTATTTTTGTTAAAAATAGGAACGTACAATTTTCTTATTTTTTTTTAAATGCGCAATCTTATTTTAAATTCAAGGTAATTAAGATCCAAGTACCCATCTGTCACAGTTTTTGACATGTCAATTTTTCTGTAAAATTTTGAAGATCCAACAGTCCGTTCAAAAATGCATATCTCTGAACCCATTCAAGATAAGTGAGTGCTCTTTTTTTATAATTGAATCGTTAAAGTCAGAGGAATTTTTTGAGTGACCGCCCAAAAGTCTTGAAAAAGTTTCCAGCGCTGCTGCGATTTTTCAAAGTTAGCAATCGAAAAATGTCAAAACGTCAACGCACCTGGAGTTCATGACAAGCGCCTCATGACTTTTGAAAAGGAACAACACATGTTACCTTATCCAATAACCAAACAAATGCAATCCCTGAGTACTTACACTGTGGTAAAGAATGGATTATTTTCTCAATTCGTTTCGTATTTATCTGATTTCTTACATAATCTTTTTCTGCAAATCGTTGACAGGATCTCTAGTAACAGACTTTCCTTTTAGGGTTACAGCTTATTAAAATATCATCTCGTCCATTTTCTTATTTTCTTCTTAGACAATATAATTTTTGAATGTGTTTAATCAACTGACGGCCGGTTGCAGGAAAGCGAATTATAATCAAAATCCTAGATTATTTGCCAAATCCGAGATTAAACAAGAATTTTGACATTTGATTGGCTGCATACTGCAGTATAAAGCCAATCAAATGTCTTAATACCGGATTAAACAATAATCCTGGATAATTTTTTTTGTGCAACTGGCCGTGTGCTAATTTCATTTTTAAAATCAAAAATGTACCTTACGAACCGTTTCACTTTAGCAGCAGCAAGCGGCTACAAACAAAACGAAAACCACAAATCAACCAAGCATATCCATAACGCCTCTACCGCGCGGTACAACCGCGACGGGATTAACTGTAAACAAGCCCGGCGACACAAATCCGAAGAATTCGTTCGTCATTTGCGAAATATGTGATGGGTATATCAAAGATTTGGAACAGTTACGTAACCATATGCAGTGGATCCATAAGGTTAAGATTCATCCGAAGATGATCTACAATAGACCACCTCTTAATTGCCAGAAGTGCCAATTTAGATTTTTTACCGATCAAGGATTAGAAAGACATTTATTAGGTTCCCACGGACTCGTCACCTCCAGTATGCAGGAAGCAGCTAATCGAAGTAAAGATGCCGGAAGGTGTCCTGTGTGTGGCAGAGTAAGTATACGCTCTTCTTCACAATTTTTGTTTCATAAGGGTTGGCCTGGGAAAATTGCATTTGTGTCTGCACTAAATAAGGTGAAAAATACCTGTCACCTTTCTAAATGCTTAGTTGCCATTTATGTTTTGGAAATGTAAAAGTATGTAGGCCATCGAGAGAGTCCGGATTAAAATCGTAAAAAAAGCATGGCTTTATCGCAAAAACCATAAAAAAACGGAAAATATATTCAGGCTATTTTTATGCACTTGGAATAATAAAATCCGTCTTATCTCCCCTCTAGCAATATTTTGCATTGTTTAAAATCAACTGCAATTGTTGTATTGTTTTAAGTTTCGATGATACTCTAGGGGCCATTGCACAATTGCACTGCGGGAAAACGGTAAATTAAAATGGCAACATTGATTTGACATTAATGTGACACTGTGACAGAACCTTTAACCTCACTTTTTCAAAATGGTCGACACAAAATATTCCAAGGTGACTTGTTATGAACAACATTTTAAATGCCTTGTGTTTTGACACGAAATTTCGTAGGTTTATCAATGGAAGCTACTGAACCACGTTGGTCGTGATCACAATATGACTTTGAAACCGGCGCATCTCTCTTACAAGTGTACAGTCTGTACAGCAACATTCGGCATGTATAAACAATTCGAGAATCACGTGTACTCGGCACATAGTGTCGTAACAAAGCGAGTTGTCGATAAGAAAGGCGCCAGTCCGGCTTCTAGCACCGGTTCCTCTAAGTCCGAGTCGGTGTTGAAACCTTTAAAAATTAATGACGAAATTACCATTATCCCCCAACCGGCGAAATCTACAAACGGCGATGCCGATGATTGCGGCATCGCTTCGACCTCAGGTTTATCGGCCACTTCTGTACGTGCTAGTAACGGTAACTCTAGCGCCAGTAAGGGCGAGTGTTGAGTCATGACAAGTTTATTTTTTTATTGCTCTATCCGAATAATAGTTATAATGGGTGGCCTACGAGTGCCGTGCGATAAACGAAGTGTCTAAATGATGTTTAGTGAAATAGGTGGTGCGTGGTCACATATACGATTGGAAGACTCACGTAGATATAAATGTATCAGTTGTTTTAAAAACTCTGACCAATTTATTTTAATTTCGGTGCCTCTTTCACCACTACCTACGTTATAGAAAATGTGACTAGCAAATTATGTAATCTCAATTAATTGTCAAAAAATAATAAATTAATATTTATTTAATGCGAGGCGGGAGTCCATTGCTACAGCTATGTGACGCTGCATACTGTACATTAGACTGGTTTATATAAATATCGTTGCACTGTAAAGTTTTCAATAGAATGAAAGTATATCGGTGTTGTTTTTTTTCTCTTAGTATTACGATTACCTATTGGTCGCAAATTGTAATTTATTAATATTTATTTTTTTCCTTTGTTCAAAAAGAATATAGATGGGCCTTTTCTGTATAATGGAAATATTTTAGAAAGTTTTAACGCTTATAGCGATTTCTTCAGATCAGGTACGGTATTATGGTACAAGAGAATTGATTTGTCAAATTAAGCAAAACGGAAAATTGTATGTATTTATAGTTAGTTGCACACAGTTTTGTAATATTTTTTGTACTATGTTTATTAAAGATTAGTTATTTTATTAGTTTATTCAGACGGAGGTATAAATTTATTTGAATCTTGTGGCCGTATTATGAACTAATTTTATCTACTTTTTTTAATCATTGCCATTTAAATTAAAACCGTGACCAACTATACATGGCTAAATAAATGGCCAGTCAAGACCATGTTTTGTTCATTTCGGAGAGTAAAGATGTAAAAGCTCATCCCTTAATAATCTTAAAAGATATTTGCTTTATATTTGAAGGTAAGTGGGATGACCATGTAGTAGCTTTGGTAGTTAGTTCCTACTCTTAATATAATCAAATTGGCTTACTTTTCTCACTTTTGATAATTGTCCAGAAATATTTGTTTTCGGTTGATCTACGTCAAGTTACTTAGGATTAATTTTTGTTTTATGTATTGGACAACCCACTGTTCTTACTATGAGGGGGTAGCCACAAATAACCGGAATATAGCATTGCCGTGAGCGGAGCTTACATAGTACGCATTTCTGCTGAAACTGAGTATTAAAAACTGCCTACAAGGATGACCATATGGTAAAAAGTCAAGTGAGCGAATGAGTTGCTCAGTTTAAAAATGGTAACATGTCAAACTTCATTCTGGACGTACATCAACTGCCCGAATTTACAAAAATGTTGAAAAAATTTGAGAGCTTGTGCTCGCAGACTTTCGACTGACAATTGATCAAGTGTCTGAGAGTAGTGGATAATCTTGGACCTCGCTGTGATGAATTTTAACAGAAGATTTGGGAATGAAATGAGTTCCTTCCAAGTTTGTTCCTCGGGCTCTGACTGAATCAAAAAGAACATCGAGTGCTTTGAAACAACAGCTTGAATCTGATCAAGATTTTCTGTCAAAGGTCATTATTGGTTTGACTACAATACTATGCCACTAAGAGAGAAAGAGTTTTTGTTTACATTCTTAATTTTTTTTGCGTTTATTTTTGAGTGGGCGGGGTTTCAGCCAAGGTTGCTCTACCAACCAAACCCACTATACGTTTACAAATATCCATGCCCCAACCAGAGACCCTTTAGCAACACAGTTCAGATTTAACTGAAGTGCGCCACACGGGCCAGTAGTCACTGGTGATCGTCATGGTGCTATGGTTACGACCCAGAAACAAAGGAACACCCAAGTCAATCGAAGACACATCGGCACCACATCCAAAAAAATGTTGAGGTAAATCAAATACCAAAACAATGCCTTTTCGATGCCAAGGACGTAGTTCATTCAGAGTATCGTTTTGGAAAAATTAAATTTATCTCTAATTGTATTCTAATTAAAGTTCTCAACGAAAGGAACCGTTTTCTACCAACTACTGCCCTTCTTTCAGTCCTTGTATCAAAGTACGGGCTAGAGGGGGGGGGGTGGAACTAGTTTTATCCTTCATGGTACTCGAATGAAAGGTATCAACGAAAGGAATTAATTTCTACCAACCATAGTCCTCCTCCTCGGCCTATTATCGTATATTCCCTTATACCTCAAGAACGGATCGATTGTCAGAAGAGGGTACTAACAAAGGGCGATTGAAACGTCTGCAAGAAATATATCCATTGGTGATGTCAAAACAAAAGCTATTTCGGTTAAAAAATGCGCTTTATCTGCACAAGACTTGCGCAGAATTTATACTTGTTTTAAATACCAATACCTGGATTTGTTTTCATTTTTGAGTAGTTTTTTACCTCCCAAACCTAATGATGACGCTGCTTTCTCTTTTGAATACACGTCGATCGTCATTTATTATTTTTCGAAGGCGATCCCTAATATACTGATGTTCAATTTTGAAAGAAGCTTAAAATGATTTACTGAAAACAAATTGTTTCAAAGGCGACACCCCTATGATTAGGCAATACACCGCACATTTGAAAGAAAGGCAGTATTCAGATTAACACTAGAGGCGCTGGCCTTTACAATGGCATTTACAAATGGCGTGTATAGGTGGTAGCGTTTTGGAAACATTTGGTTATTTTTGCAGGTTTTGATGTGAAATTGTACTAATTTGAAATTGAATTTTTTAATTTTCATTCCGTTTTTGACACTTGAAGATCTAACCCCTTAATCTATCCTACCTGTTTTTAATTAGCTTGAACTTGATTTTCTAATTACAAATAAATCGCAATTTATTTTTCCATTTCTAGTGCACTTGTACAACGACTCGCCGATATTCCCTTACGTTGGTTATGCTTTAAAACAGCCTTACTATGCGGGGCAAAATTACGCTGACCACAATTTTAAACAATAGGTATTTTTCGATGTATCGTCCTTTAATAAAACGTGAGAGGTTCCACCCTGTATATACAACTTAGGACGATGTACACATTTTTAAGAGTTGGCAACCACGCAATTTTCAGGAGGGGAAAGCTGTCTGCGCCATCTGTAGAGCTCGAACGTGGGTTACGTTCGGCATCTTGTTTTTAATGGCCATCACGAAAGCATCGTTCCGTAAATATTTGTTGTGTTGTTTAATGCAGGTAGTAATCTTTGCATAACGTATTTGTGTTTTGTATGCAGCATTTTATATTTTTTTTTGTGAGTTTCAATCTTTATTGTTGAAATTGACTTGATTTAACCGTAATGCAGAATCACATATTTGTTACCGTTAACCTTTTTATTTGAAATCGTTTACGTTTTGGTGTGATGTTTGCTTAATTTATGTATTAATTACATGTTCTTGCCCAGAAGGTCGTCCTCTTTTGTTCTGGGTCCTCAACAGGCTTTCGCCCAATTACAGAATAACCCGCATAATGCGTTATAGAGGTGCCCCTTACGGGGCTAATTCGGACATTTTTTTGTGCGTGTACTGACTTGTTGTTCGTAATAACATTTTCGCCGTGAATGAAGCAGTCACGGGGGTGAAAAAACTGTAGTCAAAATTGAGTTACGACACTAATTCCATGATTGTGTTCGACATTCAACTGTAGGCTCGAAACCCTGAACGAGGGGCGAGATACAAACCCTACCGCCTGTGATGATGTATCACTGCCGTCTGATGATTTGATCACTCCCATTTTGGTTTTCTAATGTACTGATTTAACCTTTTTAATGGCCTGTTCCACTCACCTCAACGAATATGGCTCAGATAAATCTCAGATGATGGAATTAGTTGCACTTTCTCTAAAGTATTGTTGTTTTTCGTTTCCCTTGTACGATTAGATACTGGACCAATACACAACTTAAAATTTAATTGTCTTTTCACAGGAACATACATCAACGGATCTCAATACAAAGTATTTCTTATTAAATAGTCACCCTTTGTTAAGGTCAATTATAAAAATTAATTAAATAAATAATGTACCCTGGTTACTCTTTCAACTACTATACCTATCTAAAATACCTAAAACACACGTATGCATACAAAACTTTTCAGGCATCATTTTTCGTTGAAAAAAAAGGCACAAAACGTGTGGGTTCGATCTGAGCTGTTCTCTTACAAATGTGTAGAAAAAGTATATTTACAATGATAATGTGCAGATTTTTCTGATAAATAGTTTGTAACATCACAGCCATTTCATAGCAAGCAATGCAATAAAAGCGACAAAATTACGCTTTTAAACGAAATGCCTAAAAGTTTTCGTACATTACAAATAAAATCGTACAAAAATATTTTACAAAATTGTCCTAATTGTACAATAGAAGCATAAAAAATAATGCCTATAAATCACAGTACTTAATTTCTCTAGTAGTTTTCAATTGTGCACATTTGAAGGAACGCAAAGGTGTAGCCAGGAAGAGTTTTTTTGTATGAATTAAGCACTGGATAGGGAAATGTTTGCGCTTTGAAAAAAATGAAATTATTAATTAAATGCATTTCAAATGCCTGATGTTACATTAATTGGCACACTGGTGTTGTGAACTAAAGCGTTAGTTGATGCATTGAACAAGTCAAATAGGTTTTTAAAGAACATGGAGTCTGGCTTTGTGGTATAAAGATCTATAATGTCTTCGACCGCGGACTTTGTTCCAAAAATAAGAGCTAATAATCCAACAATGACGACAAAGGCGTTCTTGTAAATTTTCCAATTGTACTTTCCAAATCCCTTTTCCCAAAAGGTGACAATTTCGATCAGAATTGGGATTACAATTCCGAGAAATGAGAAACACAAGGCACCGATTAAGCTGATAAATGGACCGATGGTGGGTACTGCTATCGAAATACAGACGGCCACAATAACCATAACGGTTCTCAGTACGTAGTTTGCAATTGTTGGGTATTTCGTGAAGTGATCCTTGATACCGTTCCATAAAATCTCTAGACAGATGAAGAATTGCAGTCCAAAGGTACCGAAGATTGCTAGACCGATTAAAATCTGCACTATCTGAGCGGCGCTGTAAATAGAAAGACTTAGAGAAAACCAAGTGCTGCACTTCTAACTCTTACATGTCCTCCTCGGGGAGATTCAAGGTCACATTGGCGAAAGTGGCATCTCCGAACTTCAAGTAACCGAGGAAACCTACCAAGATGTATAAGATTGTAACTGCCGCCAAGCCTTGATTTAAAACACCAGTAAGACCGATAAACCGTTGTGGTCTCCTCATGTTGTTTTCAAGAGGCATCACCTGTAATTTAAGTCAGTAATGTGCCAAGGCATAACAGGTTTAAAAGTACGTACCACGCCGATTGCCTCCAATGCGAAGATGGTGATACTGAAGAACGTCGGAAACTGCGTGATGTCACCGACCAATTGTTCACTTTTAATAGATGGAAGGCCGACGACCAAATAGTATATTGTAATTAAAATACCAACGCCCATAAAACCGTTGGAAATCATTGAAACTGGAGTGAGATACTTTAAGTTTGGTACATAGCACAGAATGATTAAAGGCACGAGTAGGATTAGCAGGTACATTCGGACGTCGAGCGATCCCCAGTAATAACCGGTCACTTTGTCGAAATTCGCGGCTACTATTACGGCATAGGCGCTGCACGTTCCGAAGTAGGTGACGAAAATACCGATGTCCACCATTCGCCTGGCGCACTTGCTGTATTTCTTACTCCATGGGGGACCTCGACGGCAGGCCTCTTCTGCGACGTCGGCGAAGGTCAGTATCGTTCTGCCCGATCTTCGGCACAAGTCGTGCGCGCAGACGACCTGGAGACTCGCGGTTAAGTCTACTATGGGAGTTTTGATGCGAGTTACTTACCAGAATGTACGCGCAGTGACCGCAAATGATAGACTCGATGATGGTCGCGATGATTCCTACTAGTAGTCCCGAGCATCTAAATGCTAACGGCATTGCCAAAATTCCAGTTCCTAGGCACGATTTGAGCAAGTGTATGAGGGTACCAACTTCTCTATAACAGAATGAAATTTATTGTAGTTGATATAGTCAATGTGATGGGTCCATCCGGCGTAAACCAAGCGCATGGTGCGCGGTTGTAATTTTAAGTCAGTTAAGTTATTTAATTGATACCTTTGTGACGATTTCATGCAGTAAGTACGTGCTTACAACGTACGTTAATCTTAAGTGTTTGTTACATAAGGTAGGTACTTTAATTGCATGTACTTATAACGGTTGTATTATCTTTCAGTAAAAATGATTAAGTGAAGAGGCATTATCATTAATATATTACTAAACAAATAAGTGTAATATTACAAAGAAAATTGTTCTTCCGTAAGTGATTTTAATTCGTCCGCAATTGTCGCTAGTGCATTTTTCAGTCAAACGTAGTTTTAGGGCGTCGAATAGTTATTTAGATCTATGTCTTATTGAAGACACAGAAGCTATAGAAGATGCTGATGCCCCAAAAAGTTACGCAAAAATATAGCCCCAATTCAATAGCATTTATCTGTCTCGTGTTTGTAAAGTTTCACGATTTAGTAAGTCCAAACAGCACGTGCAGTTTGCATTAAAACACTAGACGCATAAACAAGAAAAAAATTAATTTATCCAGATAATTTATGACTTATTTAAATATTTCACTCTATTCAAATTTTCCACGTTTACAATGCAAATAAAAACAACAATTTCAATTTCATGTATCAATAGGTACATAAGCACAAATTTAAACTGCAAAGCGGGCTCCCGTTACAGTTTGAACTATAAACGCTCCCTATTTAGATAATAAATATATTTCTAGATTTTGTAATCGATGATTATCTAGGTCGGTGAATGTTCTTAATTTAATTCTTCTATAACTGTTTTTTTTAAATTGGTCTTTTGCAGCTAATCCTTTTGGCCCTTTCACTGAAGGCTGACCATTTTTTAACAATCTAACCACTTAGTATGGTTCTGTTTGCAATTGGATCGCCTCTTCGGAATTTGTTTTATCAAGCGTTTTACTTTAAGCACTATGGGTGGTAGTATTGATGCTGTAATTTTGAAACAAATAAAGTTATTGGATGGATCATTATATGCCTTGAAGAAAACAAAATTATCCTTCTAACGGTATCCTACTTGACCGGAAATGTGTATCGGAAGTAAAACAATTGACGTCACTAATCTCGCCAGCCTGTTTTAAAAGCATTAATGAAATATATCGATCGAACTTTCCCTTTCGCTTACGATCTTTGCCATTGTCAAAATCTATATGTATAAACCAATTTATTTTGGAAAAAGACGAAACGCTTTGTCTCAATTCCCATGGCAACGAGCCTCCGTATGCACGGAAAATGTTATAGCGCAATAAAATGCGTACCTAATCTAAATATAGATACGCAACCAATCTTGTGTGTGTGAATATTTGTTTAAGCATTGTATGGAAATGAATTATTTCATTTATTCATAACCCAAGTTGGTTTTTAATTTAACCATACGGAAGCTAAAAGGGAATTAGAAATATAAAGTACCAATCGCGGTTTAAAAATGAAATATTATTTCAGATGTAAATGGAATAAATTAATATTTATACCTACGACGTTACGTGTGTATATTCCGTGATAAGGGTAAATGAAGCGGGTCATTGTAATTAAAATAAGAGCAAAGAGAGCGAGTGGACCACGTCTATCGTAAATTCGTAACCGAATGTTAACTGACAAAAAGCTTATCATAGCGCGGAGTAGGTACTTATACAATTCATCGTTGCGAGATAAAGTGCTTATTGGGGCATAATTTACAACGGCGATACCTATAAATATGAGTGTAAATAGTGGGAGAGTAGCATCCGTCAAGCGACTGCAGGCGATCTCAAATTTACACTGGTCGTTTTCGCGGAACGTGTTGTGCATTTTCCAAATTAAACCGTCCACTGGGCGGATCCCTAAGCCAAAAGCGAGCCATCGAACCATCGGCGTATCTCAGCGGTGATTCTATAGCGCATAGAGCGTCCAATTTCAACTCCAAATCGAAGAAACTGTCTCAGCGAGGATTCTATAGGCGGTCCGTGCAGAACATCTTATTTACGCGACGTTTTAATAGGGCCCCTTTGGACTAGGGCCATAAGCACGAGCTTGTTCTGCTTGTACGTAAATCCGGCCCTGCTCGCGAATTGGCAAAGATGGGACGTTGATAGCGAAGTTTGCGTTTGTTCTTTTTTGGCTCGGCAACTACAGCTTAAGCAGACAGGCGCGCAAGCAGTACTCGAAAGTACAATTCTTCCGCTCGAAATTTTGTTAATCTCGGAAGAAACCCAGTTAGTGTAAAAATTTGCCAAAAACCGATAACTGTCAGTGAGCTGGAATTTTATCAAGGGTTGTATAGTTACATAATTGTATTTCGTAAAAACAGCGGAAATCGTTAGAATTCAGGGATCGTTTTGATTAATAAATAACTTGAATGCGTAAGTAAAACAATTTCGATGGTTAGCCTTGAACTAGTTTTGCTTTGTTCATGCGCTAGTAATAACCAAAATTTCCGCTTTAAGCACAAGTCATACTATATGTATCCACACCGTCACGTCACCTACCGGTAACGTAACATAAAATATTCTCGTTGACAAATCTTATTTTTACCCAAAATCGTTATGAAACCTTAATTTTCATGCCTACTTTATCTCAGGAAAATGTTTCCATGACGGAGGCAGACCAGTCTACTTTTCCTGCCGCCTGTCACTTTACTGGCCGCACCTGTGGCTTTACAGGCCACACTTGTCACTTTTCCTGCCGCACCTGTCACAGTAAAATGACATTACTTGACTCGGAAAATAAAATACTCTTGTACTTCAATATTTTCTCGCCAGTAACGTGTCATTTTCTTGACTTTTATGTCTAAAATCGACATTTTTAGTACGATTGGGAATTTCAGTTTTCCGCCTTGAAGTTTACCAGCCTTAATGACCACCCGGTATATATGGATGAATAATTAGGCGCTTCGTTACTGAGAAAATCGTAGCTTCCAAACTGACATATTTTGTTTGGGAGTTGGAAATGGAGTGGAGAATTAATGGCTTCAATATGTAGCACCATATGCCAATAGCTGTTAGTAAAAAAACAAGAGACCGTTTTAAATTTCGCAGTTTTATAATTGTTCACGTACAGATATTGGAATTATTCTTGCAGCATCCGAAAGCTGTTGTCCTTTAGAAGATGACGGGAAATTAATATTTTGCGATTTCAATTCCGTTAATTAATTATTAGATGTCGTCTTGTATAAAAACAGTCACGTCAATCACGTAGGTAACCGCCACTGCAAAACTTATTATCTCTTTTTCGTCGCATGGGCCAGACGGAGATGAAAATATAATAACATAATTTGTGTACACCTCACAGGCGACCAGTTTTGCAGTGAGCGACGTTTTAGACGATTTTAGTTTCCCTGTGTTCATTCTGCGTAGATAACAAAGGCACATTTTGGTTTACCCGAAATGCCAAGCAAAAATAAGCATTACTGGGGCGATTAAAAATCAGTTGCTGTCGAGTCGGCTTTGGAAGTTCAAGTTAACTACGATTTACCATGTAAACAAAAATTCCAAAGGTGACTCGATAGCAACTCATTTTTGCTCACATATAGTATAGTAGTTAATTAATTATGTTGCAGAAACCCTTGCCTGATGCGCTTGGGTCTAGTGGCATTGGAAGCGCGCTTAATTATCTCAGATTTTGAGATATGTCCCACATTTTTAGCACGCTCGGGAGCCTGGGAATTAAATAAAGAAGTTTTAATTTTTGAACGCTATCAACTGAGTACACCGGACGGAATTTGCGACGTTCCTTTTCGGTATTCTCGAAGTTTATATAAGGTAAACGCCTAATTTAGAGGGCATCTTTTGGTATTTTCCGTATTGAAAACCGTGTTTAATTATAAGGGGGGTTATGTTGCGTCTTCCTGCATTTTATTTCCCGGTAAATACCTTAAATTAATTTGTGCTTTCGTTCCGCTTAAAAAATTTGTTGCCGTTGCCGTAATTCTGTTTGTTAATTATTCGACAGAAGCCGATCGCGGCTGGGCGCACGATCTCTGGACACCGTTTCTCTGACGGCATGTGTGGCGCGGAAGCCCGACTGCGGTACTGAAGGTCCGGGTTTGTAAATGTATAGTGGGTTGGTCCGCTGAAACCCCGCCCATTAAAAAATAAAGCCCAAAAAATAAATAAATGTTACCCAAGGTAAACGTTTGGAATTTTTGTCAAGGGACAAGGCCGCATTCTCCTGGTGGCGCCCGAGTCTACCGTTGCGTTCTCACAGCTGTCGTTTCAGTTGCAAATTATTTGGACTTATATTTAATTATGACTGATATTTTCTTGTAGTGAATTAAATTTTATTTTTGGATTAAAGTAATCATACAACAAGAGAGATGATGGGTAAGAAAAAATCTCGAAGGGAAGGAAAAACGACAGGGGAAGAAGGACTAGTACGGGAATGCACAGCGTTTTTAAAAAGAACCTCCAATTGGCATGTCCATACGTAAAGATCTGAAGATGAACGTTTAATTTGCCCGAAGCCACACATTACGCAATAACAAGTTAGCAGTTAAAATATCAGAAGCGCGCCAGTCAACTTTGTCTTCCGGTAAGTTGTTTTATTGCAGGAAGGTCTACTACTTCATTATTTCCCACGTCCTGCTGACCGTGAAGATTTCGTTCTTTCATGCGAGAGTGTATGTTCGCTCTTTACGACGTGCATGTTATTTCAATTAAATTCAAGATGCGTGCCGTGACATTAGGGGCTAAAAATATTTAGCATTGATTGGTGCACTTCAGCACTTGTAAATACTATCGTCAGAAATAAAGTGCCTGGCTTCGATAAATCTTAGCATTTTTAGATTGAGAATTAAATATTTATATACTTACGATACAGGGTGTTCAAGCACACGCGCCTTAAAGGGATCAAATTGTCCACCTAAAGCTGCCTCGGAGTCCCCCTTCGTAACTTCATATCTGTAAAAAACGCTTGAATTAAACTGTGGTTCGGGCAGGTAGATGGCCAATTATTCTTACTGACTAACTTTGTACAACAACGGTGATTTTTCGCTGGGATCAACATGCAAATTTAAACAAGAGAATATCTTCACAACCATTGCTATCGCTACTCGCTGCAACTACAGACTAAATTTTGAAAAATGTAAATGGAGGAGGGTTGATTGAATGATAGCAAAATAATGTGCTGATCCATAAATAACATTTGACCTCGATAAGTACAATCTACACTAAATGTTTGGAAAAGATTTTCGTTTGTTTTTCGCATTATGAATTAAAATGTTAATTGCACTATCAAAGTGCAAGTGATATTTAACGCAATTTACTCGTGCACCTTCTAGGTATAATAATTATTACTTTATTGAACGTGTTAAATAAATGGCTAACCTTCGATTTTTATAAACCAATTAAAACTTAGAGAAATCATGCGTGATGTGAGTGGCGTCGATAGTCAATTTCTATCAGCTACACTCGAGGTTACACTACAGACGTTGGAATAGCAGAATATTTAAACAAAATATAATTGTTGGCTGGAAAACACTCCAGTAATACACATAATATTGAATAAGAACGATGTAAAGTTTGTTGTGTGTCTTTTTTCATGTAGGAGGTGAAATGCAACGATTGGTAGGTAGTCTCTCCAAGATGGTTTTCTTAGTGTTGGAAGAAAATGAATATTGGTTCTGAAACTATTGTTTCCTTCAATAACTACTTGCTGAAGGAACTAACAAATGAAGCAGATATGATTAAATAAAATGTTTTCACTTACTTTCCATTTTTAATTCCAGATTCGTCCTTTGGAATAAAAGTATCCAATTCCGTCATATTTTTCTCCTGAAACAAAAAGAATAGAATTATAAGTCTTTTTAAATACCAAGTAGTAGGTCACTATTTGTGGCATATTTATCGTGGACATAATTTAGCATTAATTAAATCAAACTAGAAATTACAATTACTTTTCTGGATTAGTGTCATGACGTATTCGTCATTCTTTCGTTGCATGCTGTATACTTTTGCAGTGCTTCAAACGACACAAACGACTACTCATTTCCATTTTTGGATTACCCTAAACGAAAGGCCAATAATCAAAATCTATATTTATATATACAAATACAGGCAGAAACCTTAAAATAGATTGAGGCCATACGCAACTTTCAAAAAGTGGTCATATGGTATTCTAAATTCTAATGAAGGAGGAAGGACATGCCATTGTGAAAACTGGACGCAAATCGTTCTCTTTTTCACCTTTCTTTGATCCAAAGGCCTGTTTTTGTGGCTCTCATGAACTTTAGTAAACCGACCACCGTAACCGTAACTGTTTAGATGAACCAAGACAATACTGCTTTTGCCTTAGAAATGCGTGGAGTTTTGAGCCATGGCTGCGCTACGACCAGGTCAAATCTTGATGGACATACTGTCTAAATTTGCTGCAAATAGGTAAACTTCTACAAATCCACAAATTATGCTGTAAAACAGCTTCAGACTTTTTCAGAAAAACTAAAGCGTGTGCAATATTTAATTGAAAGGATATATTTTCACATGTAAAATACGTGAAAATTACATAAAGCTCTCCACCAACTTTACCAAAATGAGACTATGATAGGAAGAACACAACATTTAGTTCCTAGCGTCAAGACAATATGTTGTCAAGTTTCCGTTACTTTTGTTTAATCGGGCAAAGTCTACAAATTCTTTTTTGCTGCCTTAAACGAGTGCATTCATCTCTGAACTTCTTGTGACCACATCCCGCATTTGGAATATTAACAAAATTTGTAAGTATTACCTATGTAGTTGAAGCTTGATCGATAAGTAACAAGACTTCCGTAGGCACAGAAACTTTTATAGCATAGTCAGAGCTCCCAGCGATCTGGAAAACCGGGAAAACCTGAAAATGTCAGGGAATTTAAAATAGTCAGGGATAATCTGGAAATGTCTGGGAATGTGTAAGTCGGAATATTTCGGAAAGGACGGAAATAGGTATGTGATTTCTGTAATGAACCCATTATTGCCGAATTTGTCATGAATTAGTATGTCGTAATAATGCATAAGATGCATTTTTATATTTTGCGAACTAGCCCAGTCAATCTGCGACCAAAATCGTCAAATAAAAATAAAATAACTGATTTGAAAATTGACCAAAATGTTCTTTGGGCCTTCCTCTTGAACACATCCAAAAACACCATATGTGGAGGGTGGGCAACATGTCGCTATTTTGAATGTTAGGTGCCTGTTTTCAGTTTTTGTTTGTATATCTCGAAAACTATCAATTTTTTCATAACTTCCTGAATTTACAAAATGAAAGCTCATTAAACTTCTTGCAAGAAACATTTGTGCATATTCGGGATGAGTTAAATGAAGCGGGTCATTGTAATTAAAATAAGAGCAATGAGAGCGAGTTAAATAGGTGTATCGTAACCGAATGTTGAATGACAAAAAGCTTATAATCGAAGTAAGTATTTATACAATTCGTCGTAGTAAGATAATGTGCCAGATTTTGCAAAGGCGATACCTATAAATATGAGCGTAAGTAGCGGGAAAGCAGCAATGCATAATCGGCGTTCGTAATGCCACATCGGCGCCGGTCGCATACGCAGAACTAGGGGGGAGGGGGGCTACGCTCCCCCAAAACCAAAATCAGCCCCCCCAAGCCATGCCACAAATCATAATTCGTATGCAGCTTTACTTATTTGCCCTCTATTTTTTAAATACACGGTGTTTTTTTAAGATGGGCCATACGACAATGTAAAGGCGTTGAGATATTTAAAATGGTAATAGGGAAATTTACATTGCATCAATTATTTCGGTCATAGCTTCCTCGCGAACCATCTGCCACAGAACTACTTATAGAAATTGTTTCTAAATCAACACATTTATTCAAATGAGATATAAACGTATAAAATTACAAACGGTGCTCGAATTGTTTTCCACCGGCAACTAAACAATACCCGATACTCGGCACTGAATAGCTCGCATTACCACTCAGCTACTGCGCCCACTCTTGTACAAATTATACTACATGAAGACCTTTTCGAGCTGCGGAATACATGTAGCTGCTTCGTTGATGCAGTTTAAAGGATCAGATTGAGGAACTGTCAGCGAAATAACTAAGCGCAAGGCCAAGATTTGAGAACAATTTGCGCAATGTAAATTTCCCTATGGCTCATTTTAAATAACACAACGCCTTTACATTGTCGTATGGCCCACCTTAAAAAAACACCCTGTATAGAAAGAGATGTTTCCGTCGATTCCGAACAAATTGTTAATAAATTTGCAGAAAAAACTAGAAAAATACCTTTACGCCTGTAGTAATATCAATAAAATTTACTTCTTGTATTTTTTTATAAGAATAACATAATTTGATAAATTTACATTTGGTAATTCTTTAATAATGTGAATGTGATGCTCAGAATTCAGCAAATTTTCAACTTAGTAGAATGGGAATGCTAAGAAAAAGAGATATAAAAATTGGATGGTCTTTTGGAATGGGCTGTATAATGTACCTACACCGGGCTGTAGCCCCCCCAACAGTTGAAGTCTAGTTGCGCCTATGGCCGGTCGTTTTCGCAAAGCACGTTGTAAATTTAGTTAAACCGCCCACATTTCCAAGAAAAACGAGTCATTTTCCGAAAAGAAACCCCCCCCCCCCCTCCCAGGATTCTGTGATCGGTCCGTGTATTTAGACCTTATTAGAGTGTAGAAGGTCGAGCTAGAGTCATTTTGCATCAAGAGAGCAATTGAACCTCGATTTATGAACAATTGTATTATCGCGTCAAATCAATCAAAACAAAAGATTATACAAATAGTCACAATCTACTGGATCATTTAAAAAATTTTACCTTCTTATAATGATAATATTTATTCACAGGGAAACCCCAGAAAAGAACAGCATAAATATAATAATAATGAATTACCAAATAACAAATTGAAAGTGTGCATTACACATAAAAAAAGACAACATATGTTATACAATATTAAATTAAATGAATATAATAACTCACAATAATAGTGAACTACCCAAAAATGATTTTTTTCACAGATACGAAAAAATTGCGAGAGACGAAAAAGTTTTTAAACAAATCGGAAAACTCATTCAAAATCTACCAGTAGCGCACCTAAAAAAATGTAGGGGTAGAAAATGGAACATGGCCCCTGAAAAAACATCAACCTGCAGATTGTCATTACCATTGACATTATCACATAGCCAATTATGTAAGCTCTTCAGCGTAACTTATACAAATTTGAGCTAAATATGTTAAAAATCGCAGGAGAAACTTCAAACTTCGTGAAATTATAACACTTTGTAGATCGGTAACGAAGCGGATCTATGTTTATATGAACTTTTAGTAATAAAAATTTCCGTAAGTACATCATATTTAGGAATACCTTGTATATGTATATGTTTCTGTAAAAATATCAAATCTATACCTCGACAAACAAAGTTGGTTTTTGTGCCTCCATTTGGTTTGGATTAAGCAGGATGGCCTAGAGACGCCCGTTTACGGGAGGAGGATAATCCGAAACTACCTCCGCATGGGAACAGCGCAAGTCGCCGAGCCATGTGGGGAAATCCAAGAACTGGAGATTACAGCGGGGGTTCCGCAGGGTTCTGTCCTAGGACCTACTCTATGGAACGCGATGTACAACGGGGTTTGGAATCCCGCAGGGGATAAGGTCATCGGATTTGCCAACGACATCACAATCATAGCACGCGATCTCCTGGGGGTGATGGTGGGGCGTATGAAATGTGATGTCAAAGAAATTGCGAATTGGATGACGGGCAGATAATCCGGATAAAACCAGGATCGCCATGGTGACTGGAAGCACACAAGCTTGACGTTTGTCGACCACGTCCGACATGTTCGGTAGTGACTGACCGAGTGACCGACTGACAGGAGCCAGAGAGTAAATGAAAACTCTAATTGTGGCATCGTAAGTTTTACAAAAAAAAAGTAGCAAGGTTAGCGAAAACCGCGTCTCTATTCTTGGTGATAACGGAGAAATCCCGGTATCAAATCGAAATTTGGATACCCTGTACATAACGGCTTTAAGAGAATTATTGTAGCAATTGTTTCCCATAATAGCGTAATAACCACACTGGACAAATGGAAGCATAATTCAATGAAACTTTTAACAATTACGGAATTTTTCTCAGTACAAGGTAATTTTTTCAAAAGGACGTGCTTAATTACTGCACAATAAGCAATTAATGTACCCAGACGTTCATTACGTTCGTCGAGATTGCTAATTTTAATTATTTTTCAATAAATGATGAATTAATACGTTATTTCTAGGCATCAACTTGTTATGCTGTAGTGGCAAAAATTTTAAAAGGAAAATTTTACAGCAATTAATTTTCTATACCGATTCTATTAGGAGGCCGCAGTTTAATTTAAACGGCGCATATGTGTTTGGTCGAAATTTTGACTAGAGAACATTGGCTAGCCCAAAATTGCGCCCTAAGATTTCCCCAGTGTTCTTGGCCCAAACGTTCTCTCAAAATTTTACAATTATTGATCCTTTTCGATATTATATGTCACAAATCTATTTTCAGTATTATACAATCTTGGTGTACTTTGACTGAAGATGTCGGCGCAAGTGGGCATTGTAATGCTAATATCGTGTTCCTGGTTTGAAATTTAAAATCAGTAATGAGTTCACCAGTTTAATGAACTTAAAAGTAAAAAAAAATTAATTACTTACCGATTTCTCCATTTTGTTTGTGTGCTGCACGTTCTTATTCTATTATTTATGGGTTGTGTCCTGTAACAAAAGCACTCAATTAGCAAATATGTCGGACGCGCTCGATGTTACATACTGAAATGAAACTGTTTAAAAAATGGAGTGAGAATTGATTTAATTTCATGGGAATATCAATAACCGAGTTTCTATATTTGTTTTGATAATGTGGGTTATCGCAGAACAAATTAAAACGTTCTCACGATTGTGTGCGATTTATAGTTTTTAATTTTTACGTAATGAGTGACGCATTGGTCATTGCTCGTGGAGAGGTATGCGTTTTGGCAAGTTTTCAGTATAATGCAATCACTTTTAATTTTGCTTGAAGTCCACATGCACTGTGTCGACAGTTACGTACCAACGCTACCAGCAGAAATAGATTTAGTTCCAACAAATTTGGAACGAGGAAATATTTTGTTCCTCAAAATTCAAGAAAAGAACGCAATTTTTCTGAAAACGGAAAACATAAAATAAAAGGGGCCCGGTAATCGAACCATGTGGGACATCGTAAGCTCCACTGTGATAGAGGAAACCGCAGGAATGTAACCTATGCAATCAATTTAGTTCTTCTTGTCGTTTTTATAACAATTTTCCGAACATGGTTAGTGCAGATTTAAAAAAGAGTAATAATTAGCATCATAACTTAGTTATAAATTGCAATGACCTGATTCGTTTATTAAAACCGATGCAGATACATTGCGAAAATTAATCTTCGTGTCCTTTAATTAGACGTTTGCGACCTAATTATATAATTATGGACGATGAAAATTAAATACCTACTAGACTTTCTGGTGCGTGGGAGTATCCGAGAAGAGTTACCCTACAGCTAATTTCCTGAAGTTTTGCACTAAATTACATTTCTCTACCAAAAACATGATCACTCCCACTAATAGTACTTATATCCATTGTGTCTTACTGTAAAGTACTAAAGGTACCTATGCGATGGGAGGTCTGAGTAATTATTTTCCGACAATCTAATCAGGATTGAGAAAAGAAATAGATTTGATAAAATAATTAATATCTGCACTTGCACGTTGGCACCAGATGTCCAACGTTCATGATGTAAGTCCATACAGTATACGAGTAATTAGTTTAAACTTCGCAATTTAGGTAAGTAGTTAATTTTTACATGATATAAGATTTTCCTTCCTCAAACTGAATGAAGGGAGGTGTCTGGTGCAGTAGCGTGAAATTCGGCCACAAATTAAGATGTCTGGATTGATTTGTATGTCAAGGTTACGTTTTTCTGGTGTCAAGATGTAATTGATTTGTTTTTCGATTTGTCTGATGACATTTTGCCGCAAGTGTGATCACACACAGAATGAATCAGTGCCATACGCAGGCCACATTGAGAATCCTCCAGTTCGGTTTGCAGACCAGGAGGAAGCAAGATACGAAGAATCGCATACGATTTTCAGTAGGCGAATTTTTTGTGACTCTGCTCGTATTCGGAAACTAGACTTTTGATCCGGCTCATATTCAATAAGACTGATGATCCTTGAACTCGTAGAAATCGATTGGCGAAGGTTTGACATTGCTCTCTTATCTCTTTTCGTTCTCGAGTTAGACGAGGAACAGATGGACAAAACCATCACATAAGGGAAATTGTTTTTCTTTCGAAAAATTCCCCTAAAAACATTATATTCAAAAGTTTAATAATTCCCGTTATAATACGGGATTTGCTCAAACTCAAATTATTCTCAGACTCATTCATAATCACTTGATACTTGATACTTTGACATATGCCTGGTGTTGCCGCTTCTCCTAGGATTTAGTCAACTGTCGTGGGGATGCGTCCCTGGTAGGCACTATCAGGGGCGTTTCACCACTAGGTACTTTGTTGCCATCGCGCTGAGCCGCGACATATGCCAAACAATTTGGTGGATTTTGTGGATGGGGGGGATAGCTAACTGGGCATTATCCGACCCGAACGGGCAGGGCCACAGCTTCGCCACTAGAATATCTGCCTTGGAGGGAACTCTGCTTTCTGGTGATAGCTTCTTCACCGGGCGTTCATTAGTTTCCGATGTTCCTATCCTTTGGTACCGTTCCCTTCTCTGTTTCCCCCGTGATCCTCCTCTTTTTATTGTTGTCCTCTCCCTGCGTTACTTTCTGTCGTCCCCTCCTCCTCCTCCTCCTGGCTGCTTGTGCTTATGTCTGATTCTTCCTCCATCTTCAGTATTCTTCTGCTTTCTTTCTTCATTTGATGCTTGTCTCTGTTCCACTCTTCCCATGGGAATCCCCGAGGCCGTTACCGTACCGTTTGGTCTATGGTGGTGTTCCATGTGAAGCAGGGTCGGCCTACCTTCCATTCCGAGGCACATAGATTCTTGGCAGCCCGCGGGATATGGACTTCGTTCCTCCTGTTTATACAGGCTATTTCGAAATTCGCGCACACGGACTGTTTGATGGTGTTATACAACGAAAACCCAATAAAAAGTTACTCTACCAGTTTTTGATCAGACCGGCACTTTTTTTTTCGACGTGCTGAAGTTTGTTTACTAGCAGACGGCGGACATTTTGAACAACTGTTGTAATTACGTACTCGTCATAATTATAGTTTATTTTGAACCTTCTTTTGTTTTTAAAAATGTGTTATTATTAAGTTTAACCAGTGGCGCAGCGTAGGGGGGAGGCGGAGATTTTTAAAACCGCGGTAGCTCGAAAAGTAGCGGTCTGATGGAAAACTGGTAGAGGAACTTTTTGTTCAGTTTTTGTCGTATAACACCATCCCATAGTCCGTGTGCGCGAATTTCGAAACACCCTGCATGTCCCCAGTATCTCATCTGCTTCATCTTCAGTCTCCTGGTGATCGTCTTTCCCTCTGTTGTAAGGTGGCTATTGCTTCATGCTTCACTTGGTCAAAGGCCTTCGCCAGATCTATTGCTAGAAGTCATGTTTTGGTTCCTGCCCCCCATTGTTCGTCTAAGAACCTACTGATCGTGAATATATGGTCATCGGTTGATCTTCCTTTTATGAATCCTGATCGGAATGCACTATTATTGACCTAACCTAAGGGTTTCCCAAAGTGTCGTCAACTTGAGAATTTAAATAGCTTGCTTTATGGGTTAGGGTTGTTTGTATTTCGCCGATTGACAGGTTTATGTTTCCTTTCAAAAGGGTCTAATTCTAATTTTCCACGCCCATGTGTATTGCTAACCGGCGATATTCTGACGTCTCGTTTATCTAGACTACCTGGTTAATTGCCCCCCGTGGCCTGCGTCGCTCTTCTATCGCTAGTTTGATTTAATTTAATTTTATAATTAAATTATAACCTTAACCCTAGTGCTTAGCTTTTCGCCCTGTTGATTTGGTTTCTACACTGTTTTGCCACAATTTAATTAAGACCACGCGTTTAATTCGCTTTATTCATTCATGTCTTTATAAAGACAAATTCCACTTGATCTTCAGCCCGATTTAAGCCCGGATCCTCCTCGCGTTCAAAATTTACCGAATTCTTTACTAAAATAGGTAAAGTAAACAAAGTAAACACACAGGGTCAACCGTCCTCTTTACCGGTCCAGACTGAACTCTCAGACTCATAGTAGCCATATAGGGCCGATCCTAACTCAACTCCATGTAAAATCCCATAAGGCGATTTTCTAGTGTCAATGTCATTTGAAGGTGACTAAATAGAGAGGTTAATAACCTAACGATTAACGACCCCACGAAGTCGGAGGGGCTGAGGGGGGTTATTGACCTCCAGATTTTGGAGGGGAGTAGCGATCAATATCGATTGAAGGTGGAGAGGTTTAACGACCCCACGAAGTCGGTGGGGCCGAGGGGGTAGGTCATTGACCTCCAGAATTTGGAGGGGAGTAGCGATTATAAAGTCTTCAGATTTAGGCATATTTAATAATAGTAATCATGGCATGGATAGCGTATGCTGAGCAGACATGGACCAAAGCAAGCGACTTTGTAACGGCAGTTGAACGCCTCAGGCAACTCTTATCGGCGTTAGTATTTGACGCCGAACATGAAGCCGTGTACGGGAACGGTGAATATAGTGCAGAAGAGTGTCTGGCCATTGCTAACAAGTACGAGTTGGGTGAAAAAATTTGTGACAGTTATTTAAACTTTAAAATATGTGAGAGATGTCTCATACACAGATTGAAGGATGCTAAGTTGGAGCAATTTAGTAGTGAGCTAAGTGAGTGGATAAGTCTTCCCGACAATGAAGAAGACCGTTGCAATTGATGAATCGCAGAATTGTGTATATAAAATGCTGACGTGGTCGTTTGCTCACCGTGAAGCGCGAAAAGGACCATGGGAAACCGCCGCCCTCGATAGATTTCGTTTCCGGTGTAAAATCGAACAGATTAATAGAGTTCTATCTCCTGTATTAGAACAGAGTCATCGTGACAAAGTTTATCGTGACAGACTCTCCCCTCCATAACATTGGCAATATAAGTGAGGCTGTAGTAGGACTTGAAATCATTTCAAAAGTGGACGCGAAGTAGTTAAAATGGATCTTGATACACTAAACAGTTCCACTTTCTGCAAGCCATTCAAAAACGTGAAGGACATGGAGGTGGGCGAGAAATACAGAATCGTAAGCATCGACACAATAAACACCAAGTTCGGCGACCGAATACTGGTAGAGACCGGAAACTTCAAATGTGTTCTACCCTTGCGTTTCTACAACTACTTTAAAGAAGATAATCGTCTTGAAACATTCAGAGCCACCATAGCCAATAAGGATGTTTACATAACAAGTGCTGGATCTGCTGGGCAAACGACTAATTTAAAGTTTATGTAAATATAGAAATTGTATCTAATAATGAAAGTCTAAAAATAAACATGATATACGAAATTTTTTTTTTATTTCATAATAAAATTAGTACTTCATCATAAAACTGCTCAGTTTTGGCATCGTCGTCTAGGTGTGCAGTTCTTATGAAATCAGTGCACATAGATACCAAAAATAGCTTCAATAATAACTACTTTACGTGTTCGTGTTGGTGTTGTAATCGCAACGGAGATGATGATGATGATGATGCTACTCCCTCACCTCCCCACATTGA